CACGAAATGATTGTATAAACAGGCATAAGTATACCATGATGCCAAACAGGGGTACTGGTAAATCAAAAAGGGGGGGATGACGGCTAAACGGCGTTTCCGGAGGGTGCTCACCTTCTTCATCAGAACTGGGTTTGGCAGATAGAAACCTTCAGTATGGCAGAGTATTTGCCATGGCAAGGAGAAACCTCCAGCCACTGAGTGTCGGCATTGCCAGCAATGACTAAACAGGCCTGAACTGCTGTAATACTGACGCACTCAGGGGACTGCTGTAATACTGACACTCAGGGACCGCTGTATACCGACCAACGCGGGGACCGCTGTAATACCGACACTCGGGGGACGGCTTGTTAATTACCGACACTCGGGGACGGCTGCTAAATACCCGACACTCGGGGACGGCTGTAATACCGACACTCGGGGACGGCTGTAATACGCGACACTCGGGGACGGCTGTAATACCGACCCACTCGGGGGGACGGCTGTAATAGCCGACACTCGGGGGACGGCTGTAATACCGACACTCGGGGGGACGGCTGTAATACCGACACTCGGGGGACGGACTCTGTTATACCGACACTCGGGGGACGGCTGTAATACCGACACTCGGGGACGGCTGTAATACCGAACTCGGGGGACGGCTGTAAATACCGACAACTCGGGGGACGGCTGTAATACCGACACTCGGGGACGGGCTGTAATACCGACACTCGGGGGACGGGCTGTAATACCGACACTCGGGGGACGGCTGGTAATACCCGACACTCGGGGGACGGCTGTAATACCGACACTCGACCGGGGGACGGCTGTAATACCGACACTCGGGGGACGGCTGTAATACCGACACTCGGGGGACGGCTGGTAATACCGACACTCACAAATCGGGGAACGGCTGTAATACCGACACTCGGGGGGAACGGCTGTAATACCGACACTCGGGGGACGGCTTGTAATACCGACACTCGGGGGACGGCTGTAATACCGACATCGGACGACTCGGGGGACGGCTGTAATACCGACACTCGGGGGACGGCTGTAATACCACCGACAATCGGGGGACGGCTGTAATAGACAGCTCGACTCACTCGGGGGACGGCTCTGTAATACCGACACTCGGGGGACGGCTGTAATACCGACACTCGGGGGGGACGGCTGTAATACCGACACTCTCGGGGTATAACCGACACTCGTCTGGGAACGGCTGTAATACCGACACTCGGGGGACGGCTCTGTAATACCGACACTCGGGGGAACGGCTAATTAATACCGAAACACTCTCGGGGACGGCTGTAATACCGACAACTCGGGGGACGGCTGTAATACCGACACTCGGGGGACGGCTGTAATACCGACACTCGGGGGGACGGCTTGTAATGGACACGGGGACGGCATGTAATAATACCGACACTCGGGGGGGACGGCTGTAAATACCGACACTCGGGGGGACGGCTGTAATACCGACACTCGGGGGACGGCTGTAATACCGACACTCGGGGGACGGCTGTAATACCGACACTCGGGGGACGCTTGTAATACGACACTCGGGGGGACGGCTGTAATACCGACACTCGGGGGACGGCTGTTAATACCGACACTCGGGGGACGGCTGTAATACCGACACTCGGGGGACGGCTGTAATACCGACACTCGGGGGACGGCTGAATACCGACACTCGGGTGACGCTCCTAATACCCGACAGGGGACGGCTCTGTAATACCGACACATCGGGGGACGGCTGTAATACCGACACTCCCGGGGGTACGGGCTGCTTTTGTAATACCGACACTCGGGGTAAAACGGCTGTAATACCGACACTCGGGGGACGGCTGCTGTCCAAATATACCGACACTCGGGGGACGGCTGTAATACCGACACTCGGGGGACGGCTGTAATACCGACACTCGGGGGACGGCTGTAATACCGACACTCGGGGCTGTAATACGGCTCGGGGGACGCTGTAATACCGACACTCAGGGACTGGAGGTCTCCTTGCCATGGGAACTCTGCCATACTGAAGTTTCTATCTGCCAAACCCAGCTCTGATGAAGAAGGGAGCACCCTCCGAAATCGCGTTAGCCTTCACCCCCCCCCCCCCCCTTTTTGATTTACCTGTAACCCCTGTTTGGATTCTGGTTACTTATGCCTGTTATACAATCATTCTGTGAGTATAATTTCCTTATTAATAAAATGAGTCACTATTTTATTGAGGTAATGCGCAAGGTTGGTGCGCTCTCTTTCATCTTCCTCTACAGTTTTATTGCGCTTTCCCCAGCTTCATGATGGAGCTGCACAACCTCTGATCACCAGCGGATTAATTGAACACACAACACGCTGCTAGTCAGTGTGACGCCTGTTTGATCTGAGTCCTTGAGCACAGGAGATAATGGATCTATGGGGGAGGGATTTGCCCTGTTATTGGGGGAGGGATTTTGCCCTGTTATGGGGGAGGGATTTTGCCCTGTTATGGGGGATGGGATTTGCCCTGTTATGGGGGGGGGATTTGCCCTGTTATGGGGGGGGGATTTGCCCACTTATGGGAGAGGGATTTGCCCGGCTTGGTTATGAGGGAGGGATTGCCCAGCCCCACTTATGGGGGAGGGATTTGCCCGGTTATGGTGGAGGGATTTGCCATTCCCGGTTATCCCCGTTATGGTGGAGGGATTTGCCCGGTTATGGTGGAGGGATTGCCCTGGCCCACTTATGGGGGAGGGATTGCCCTGGCCCGGTTATGGGGGAGGGATTTGCCCGGTTATGGGGGAGGGATTTGCCCGGTTTATGGGGGAGGGATTTGCCCGGTTATGGGGAGGGATTGCCCTGTTATGGGGGAGGGATTGCCCCAGCCCCACTTATGGGGGAGGGATTGCCCAGCCCCGGTTATGGGGGAAGGATTTGCCCGGGGTTATGGGGGAGGGATTTGCCCGGCCCGGTTATGGGGGAGGGATTACCCGGTTATAAGGGAGGGATTTCCCTGGCCTGGTTATGGGGGAGGGATTTGGCCGGTTATGGGGGAGGGATTTGCCCGGTTATGGGGGGAGGGATTTTCCCCGGCCCGGTTATGGGGAGGGGATTACCCGGTTATGGGGAGGGATTTCACTGGCCTGGTTATGGGGGAGGGATTTGCCCGGTTATGGGGGAGGGATTTGCCCGGTTATGGGGAGGGATTTCCCCGGAACCGGTCATGGGGGAGGGATTTCCCGATTATGGGGGGAGGGATTTCCCTGGCCTGGTTATGGGGGGAGGGTCTGTGCTTGATTTAATCTGGAGAGAATCCCTCTAAAGTTTCAGGATTTGGCCTGGCGCTCGTCCCATGCCAAGGACAACTTGAGGCATCCTATGTGGGGAATTGGGGGTTGTCAAAGTGGGGTGTGGTGGGTGGAGGAGACGATGGACCATTCTTGCTTCAATGCCTCTTCAATATAAAAGTCTATAAGCAGGTGGGTTGGGGCTCTGGGGATCCTTTACTGAATGTGTTATGCAGAGTGGCTGTACGAAGCCTTTCAGACTCACCAGGATTTTGAGACCCTTTTTCTAGTCAGTTTAGTAGTCCATTATTACACGTGGAATGCACGGTGTCAGGTTTCCTCCTGCAGAGGTGGTGGTGCACAACATTCTGGGTGAGGTTGGGAAGATTCGGGGTCCTGAGAAGGACAGGTGGAGGCTGGGAGCCTGGACAAAGGCGTGGAGGAATGTCAGGTCCCCGTAGCTGCTGTCTGTCAGTCTCTGGGGGCGTGGCTTCTTTTTTTTTATAAGATCAGATTTTTTGGAAAAAGGTGTCATGTATGGGATCCATGTGTCCTCGTTTCCGAGCCTGAGGGGGGGAGGGGTTCAGGTGATGGGCGGGTTGTGTATATTAGTAGGTTATTGGTAATAAAAATGTGTCTATATAGTTCTATTTGTGGCCTCCATTCAGTGGCCTCCACCCCTCTCCGCCAATCCATTCAGTGGCCTCCACCCCTCTCCGCCAATCCATTCATGGCCTCCACCCCTCTCCGCCAATCCATTCAGTGGCCTCCACCCCTCTCCGCCAATCCATTCAGTGGCCTCCACCCCTCTCTCCGCCAATCCATTCAGTGGCCTCCACCCCTCTCCGCCAATCCATTCAGTGGCCTCACCCCTCTCCGCCAATCCCTCCACTGGCCTCCATTCAGTGTCCTCCACCCATCTCTCTGCAATCCCTTCATTGGCCTCCATTCAGTGGCCTCCACCCCTCTCTGCCAATCCCTCCACTGGCCTCCATTCAGTGTCCTACACCCATCTCTGCCAATCCCTTCATTGGCCTCCATTCAGTGTCCTCCACCCATCTCTGCCAATCCCTCCACTAGCCCTCCATTCAGTGTCCTCCACCCCTCTCTGCAAATCCCTCCACTGGCCTCCACTCAGTGTCCCCTCCCCCTCTGCCAATCCCTCCACTAGCCCTCCATTCAGTGTCCTCCACCCCTCTCTGCCAATCCCTCCATTGGCTCCTGATCACCCAAAGGATAAAACTTAGAATACTAACAACATATGAAACCATCTGCAACTCTGCAGTGAGCTACATCACCAACCTCCTCCCATATTATTGCCCAAATAGTCCTCTGTTCCTCCCAAGACATCCTGCTCTCTACCTCCCTTATCACCTCCAGAACTTCTCCAGAGCCTCTCTCATCATCTGGAACTCCCTACCCTAATCTGTTCAACTATCTCTATCTGTCCATCCTAAGGCGATCCCTGAAAACTCCTCTCTTCTGGGAGGCCAATCCCACCTAAAAACTGAGCTCTTACCCTGTACAATGCCTCCCCCTCCCCCCACAGTCATAACATTTTTGTCTGACTTGCTTCTCCCTTTTAGATTGTAGGCTCCTATGAGCAGGAACTCCCCAACCCTCTTGTATTGTAACAGTACTGTCTATCCTACAGCACAAAGTATTGGCACTATATACATCCTGTATGATATGTGTCTGTATAAGGGGGGGTGTCGTATATTGCTGTCCTGGGGGTAACATTCTCCTTTTGCCCCCATACAGGACAATTCTCTTCTCCTGGGAGGAGGCAGCTGTCACATCCATGTCATGGATCTGGAGACCGGAGCGTTTACTGTGAGTCACCCTGGGGTGGTGGTCCATGCTGTGGTCTGGGAGGGTTGGGGGTCCACCTGGGGTGGTGGTCCATGCTGTGGTCTGGGAGGGTTGGGGGTCCACCTGGGGTGGCGGTCCATGCTGTGATCTGGGAGGGTTGGGGGTCCACCTGGGGTAGCGGTCCATACTGGTCTGGGAGGGTTGGGGGTCCATGCTGTGGTCTGGGGGGCAGGGGACCACCTGGGGTGGCGGTCCATGCTGTGGTCTGGGAGGGTGGGGGTCCACCTGGGGTGGTGGTCCATGCTGTGATCTGGGAGGGCGGGGGACCACCTGGGGTGGCGGTCCATGCTGTGGTCTGGGAGGGTGGGGGTCCACCTGGGGTGGTGGTCCATGCTGTTGTCTGGGAGGGTGGGGGTCCACCTGGGGAGGCGGTCTATGTTGTGGTCTGGGAGGGTGGGGGTCCACCTGGGGTGGTGGTCCATGCTGTGATCTGGGAGGGCGGGGGACCACCTGGGGTGGCGGTCCATGCTGTGGTCTGGGAGGGTGGGGGTCCACCTGGGGTGGTGGTCCATGCTGTTGTCTGGGAGGGTGGGGGGTCCACCTGGGGAGGCGGTCTATTTTGTGGTCTGATAGTGTGGGGGTCCACCTGGGGTGGCGGTCCATGCTGTGGTCTGGGAGGGTTGGGAGTCCACCCGGGGTGGCGGTCCATGCTGTGGTCTGGGAGTCCACCCGGGGTGGCGGTCCATGCTGTGGTCTGGGAGTCCACCCGGGGTGGCGGTCCATGCTGTGGTCTGGGAGTCCACCCGGGGTGGCGGTCCATGCTGTGGTCTGGGAGTCCACCCGGGGTGGCGGTCCATGCTGTGGTCTGGGAGTCCACCCGGGGTGGCGGTCCATGCTGTGGTCTGGGAGTCCACCCGGGGTGGCGGTCCATGCTGTGGTCTTTATAAGATTGGTTGTCCTTGTGTGATGTTCTGCCTTTAGATGGCGCTCCAGGGACACGAGGACTACATCCACTGTCTGGCATTGCGGCAGCAGCAGAGAGAGTGTGTGTCAGGGAGTGAGGACGGCTCAGTCCGGCTCTGGGGTGAGTGATGTGACGGGGGGAGGGGAGGGGTTATCTTTCTTATCACTGATCATTGTATTCTGTTACCAGATCTCCGGAACGGATCACAGACACACAAGATCGAGGTGTATAAATATGAGGTATACAGCGCCTCCTCCATCTCTGTCTCAACCTTACCTCCCCCCCCCCCCCCCCCCCCCTCTTTTTCTGTCCTCTGCCCCATATCTCTGTCCACCGGCTTCCTGTCTCTCACTTCCTTCCTCCATAGCTCGTCCATCTCTGTGTCTCACCTTCCTGTTTTTCCTAGGAGTGCGCCCGGCCCCAGTACGGGAAGTGGATCAGCTGTCTGGCCACGGACTCAGATTGGATGGTGAGGGCGGGGTTACAGTTTGTTGTCTATCTAGGATTGGAGGAGAGGGTGTGGGAGGAGTTCCTGGAAGGACATTATATGATGTTCTCTGTTTGGGGGAAGGGAAGGGGGAGGAATTCCAGAAGGGGCTGTTGTTATGTTATCTGTCTGGGGTTTGGGAAGAGGGGAGGAGTTCCGGGAAGGACAGTAGTTATGTTATCTGTCGGGTTTCGGGGTTTGGGAAGAGGGAGGAGTTCCAGAAAGGACTGTAGTTATGTTATCGGTCTGGGGGAAGGGAAGGGGGAGGAGTTCCGGGAAGGACTGTAATTATGTTAGGACTGTTTTGGGGGAAGGGGGAGGAGTTTCGGGAAGGACTGTAATTATGTTAGCTGTTTCTGTTTTGGGGGAAGGGGGAGGGGGGAGTTTCGGGAAGGACTGTAGTTATGTTAGCTGTTTGGGGAAGGGGGAGAAGTTCCGGGAAGGACTGTAGTTATGTTATCTGTTTGGGGGAAGGGGGAGGAGTTCCGGGAAGGACTGTAGTTATGTTAGCTGTTTTTAGTTCTGTTTGGGGGAAGGGGGAGGAGTTCCGGGAAGGACTGTAGTTATGTTAGCTGTTTGGGGAAGGGGGAGGAGTTCCGGGAAGGAGGAGTCTGTAGTTATGTTAGCTGTTTGGGGGGGGGAAGGGGGAGGAGTTCCGAGGAAGGACTGTAGTTATGTTATCTGTTTGGGGGAAGGGGGAGGAGTTCCGGGAAGGACTGTAGTTATGTTAGCTGTTTTGGGGGAAGGGGGAGGAGTTCCGGGAAGGACTGTAGTTATGTTAGCTGTTTGGGGGAAGGGGGAGGAGTTCCGGGAATGGACTGTAGTTATGTTAGCTGTTTGGGGGAAGGGGGAGGAGTTCCGGGAAGGACTGTAGTTATGTTAGCTGTTTGGGGGAAGGGGGAGGAGTTCCGGGATGGCCTGTAGTTTATGTTAGCTGTTTGGGGGAAAGGGGGAGGAGTTCCGGGATGGCCTGTAGTTATGTTAGCTGTTTGGGGGAAGGGGGAGGAGTTCCGGGATGGCCTGTAGTTATGTTAGCTGTTTGGGGGAAGGGGGAGGAGTTCCGGGAAGGCCTGTAGGGGATGGCCTGTAGTTATGTTATCTGTTTTGGGGGAAGGGGGAGGAGTTCCGGGAGGACTGTAGTTATGTTAGCTGTTTGGGGGGAAGGGGGAGGAGTTCGGGAAGGGGTTATGTTAGGGGGAAGGGGGAGGAGTTCCGGGAAGGACTGTAGTTTATGTTAGCTGTTTGGGGGAAGGGGGAGGAGTTCCGGGATGGCCTGTAGTTATGTTATCTGTTTTGGGGAAAGGGGGAGGAGTCTGGGAAGGACTGTAAGTTAGCTGTTTGGGGGAAGGGGGAGGAGTTCCGGGAAGGACTGTAGTTATGTTAGCTGTTTGGGGGAAGGGGGAGGAGGCCTGTAGTTATGGGGGAAGGGGGAGTTCTGGGAAGGACTGTAGTTATGGTTAGCTGTTTGGGGGGAAGGGGGTTTCCCGGGATGGCCTGTAGTTATGTTTAGTCTGAGTTCCTGTAGTTATGTTATCTGTTTGGGGGAAGGGGGAGGAGTTTCCGGGAAGGACTGTAGTTATGTTAGCTGTTTGGGGGAAGGGGAGGAGTTCCGGGAAGGACTGTAGTTATGTTATCTGTTCGGGGCAAGGGGGAGGAGTTCCGGGAAGGACCTGTAGGGGAAGGGGGGAGAGTTCCGGGAAGGACTGTAGTTATGTTTAGCTGTTGGGGGAAGGGGGAGGAGTTCCGGGATGGCCTGTAGTTATGTTAGCTGTTTGGGGGAAGGGGGAGGAGTTCCGGGATGGCCCTGTAGTTATGTAGTTATGTTATGGACTGTAGTTGTTATCTGGGAGGAAGGGGGAGGAGTTCCGGGAAGGACTGTAGTTATGTTATCTGTTTGGGGGAAGGGGGAGGAGTTCCGGGAAGGACTGTAGTTATGTTAGCTGTTTGGGGGAAGGGGGAGGAGTTCGGGGAAGGACTGTAGTTATGTTTCTGTTTGGGGGAAGGGGGAGGAGTTCCCGGGAAGGACTGTAGTTATGTTAGCTGTTTGGGGGAAGGGGGAGGAGTTCCGGGATGGCCTGTAGTTATGTTATCTGTTTGGGGGAAGGGGGAGGAGTTCTGGGAAGGACTGTAGTTATGTTATCTGTTTGGGGGAAGGGGGAGGAGTTCCGGGAAGGACTGTAGTTATGTTTATCTGTTTGGGGGAAGGGGGAGGAGTTCCGGGAAGGACTGTAGTTATGTTATCTGTCGAAGGCATGTAGGGGGAGGAGTTCCGGGAAGGACTGTAGTTATGTTAGCTGTTTGGGGGAAGGGGGAGGGGAGTTCGGGGAAGGACTGTAGTTATGTTAGCTGTTTGTTTGGGGGAGCTGTTTGGGGGGGAGGAGTTCCGGGATGGCCTGTAGTTATGTTAGCTGTTTGGGGGAAGGGGGAGGAGTTCCGGGATGGCCTGTAGTTATGTTAGCTGTTTGGGGGAAGGGGGAGGAGTTCCGGATGGCCTGTAGTTATGTTATCTGTTTGGGGAAGGGGGAGGAGTTCCGGGAAGGACTGTAGTTATGTTATCTGTTTGGGGGAAGGGGGGAGGAGTTCCGGGAAGGACTGTGGGTTTATTGTGCCAATCACCACAAATGCACTGATATAAATGGACTCCACTGTGTGGGACTGATGTGGCCGGACCCAGCGTCTCTGTAGCAACGCGTTTCGAGGCGCATCCTCTGTTAAGTTGGTAGCTTGGCGAAGAGGCTGTGCGATGAAACGCGTTGCTATGGAAATGTTGGATTCGGCCACATCAGTCCAACCCAGTGGAGCCGCTCTCTGATCTCGGTTATGGGACTTGTGGGACTTGTTGTCCCTTTTTCTTCGGGACCCGCACAATAAATTGGTATCAGTTGTGTGGCGGTTCTGTCTCCGGACATTTATTGCTGCATGTGTGGTGCTTCTCGTCTCGTTTTCCATCATGACTGGCGGCTCTGGCGGCACAATCTGGATTTGGATCCTGTCCTTGCCAGCGGCAGGTTACCATATTATTGTGTTCTCTGTGATTGGACGTGATCCTGATGTCTTCCAGGTGTGTGGTGGGGGCCCCATGCTTTCTTTGTGGCATCTTCGTTCTGTGACACCGACTACGATATTCCCCATTCAGGACAGCCAGCAGCAAGTCATGTTCTACCAGGATCTGGTGAGGCTTTCATGTCCTTCTGTACACCTCCCACCTGTGTGCTACACGCAGCCCCACCCCCCTCACCTGTGTGCTACACGCAGCCCCACCCCCCTCGCCTGTGTGCTACACGCAGCCCCACCCCCTCACCTGTCTGTCACGCCCTGTGCCACTCCCTCACCTGTGTGCTACACGCAGCCCCACCCCCTCACCTGTCTGTCACGCCCTGGGCCACTCCCTCACCTGTGTGCTACACGCAGCCCCCACCCCCCTCACCTGTGTGCTTCACGCGCAGCCCCCACCCCCTCACCTGTGTGCTTCACGCAGCCCCACCCCCCTCACCTGTGTGCTTCACGCAGCCCCACCCCCCTCACCTGTGTGCTTCACGCAGCCCCACCCCCCTCACCTGTGTGCTTCACGCAGCCCCACCCCCCTCACCTGTGTGCTTCACGCAGCCCCCCCCCCCCTCACCTGTGTGCTTCACGCAGCCCCACCCCCCTCACCTGTGTGCTTCACGCAGCCCCACCCCCCCTCACCTGTGTGCTTCACGCAGCCCCACCCCCCTCACCTGTGTGCTTCACGCAGCCCCACCCCCCTCACCTGTCCGCCACGCCCTGTGCCACTCCCTCACCTGTGTGCTACACGCAGCCCCACCCACCTCGTCTGTCACACGCAGCCCCACCCCTCCCCTGTCACACACAGCCCCACCCCTCCCACCTGTCTGCCACGCCCTGTGCCACTCCCTCACCTGTGTGCTTCACGCAGCCCCACCCCCTCACCTGTCCGCCACGCCCTGTGCCACTCCCTCACCTGTGTGCTACACGCAGCCCCACCCCCCTCACCTGTGTGCTACACGCAGCACCCCACCCCCTCACCTGTCTGTCACGCCCTGGGCCACTCCCTCGCCTGTGTGCTACACGCAGCCCCACCCCCCTCACCTGTGTGCTACACGCAGCCCCTCACCTGTCTGTCACGCCCTGGGCCACTCCCTCACCTGTGTGCTACACGCAGCCCCTCACCTGTCTGTCACGCCCTGGGCCACTCCCTTGCCTGTGTGCTACACGCAGCCCCACCCCCCCTCGCCTGTGTGCTACACGCAGCCCCACCCCCTCACCTGTCTGTCACGCCCTGTGCCACTCCCTCACCTGCTACACGCAGCCCCACCCCCCTCGCCTGTGTGCTACACGCAGCCCCACCCCCCTCGCCTGTGTGCTACACGCAGCCCCACCCCCCTCGCCTGTGTGCTACACGCACCCCACCCCCCTCGCCTGTGTGCTACACGCAGCCCCACCCCCCTCGCCTGTGTGCTACACGCAGCCCCACCCCCCTCGCCTGTGTGCTACACGCAGCCCCACCCCCCTCGCCTGTGTGCTACACGCAGCCCCACCCCCCTCACCTGTCTGTCACGCCCTGTGCCACTCCCTCGCCTGTGTGCTACACGCAGCCCCACCCCCCTCGCCTGTGTGCTACACGCAGCCCCACCCCCCTCGCCTGTGTGCTACACGCAGCCCCACCCCCCTCGCCTGTGTGCTACACGCAGCCCCACCCCCCTCACCTGTGTGCTACACGCAGCCCCACCCCCCTCACCTATGTCTCCACCCCTCCTTCTCCTTGTGTGTGGTCTTCCTCTAACGGCTCCCCCCCCCCCCCCCCCCCCTGTGTCTTCTGGTCAGATCCTCTGTGCCGGTCAGGCCCCGCACATCAACCACTGCCAGATCAATGGAGAGATCCGCGCCCAGATCCCCTGCACCCCCTGCTCCATCTACTCCCTGTGCATCAATGAGACCTCCCAGGAGAACAAGGTACGCCCCCTCCCTGCACGGATAGAATCGTATATTGGGGGGGCTGGTGTTAGGGGGAGGGGGACCTGGTGTTATAAGGGGGGGGACTGATGTTACAAGGGGGGGAAGGGGACCTGGTGTTACAAGGGGGGGAAGGGGACCTGGTGTTACAAGGGGGAGGGGTGGTGTTACAAGGGGGGGGGCTGGTGTTATTAGGGGGACCTGGTGTTATAAGGGGGGGGGACTGATGTTACAAGGGGGGGAAGGGGACCTGGTGTTACAAGGGGGGAGGGGGGGTGTTACAAGGGGGGGGCTGGTGTTACAAGGGGGGCGGGGACCTGGTGTTATAAGGGGGGGGACTGATGTTACAAGGGCTGGGGGGGGGCTGGTGTTAGAAGTGCCTGGTCTGTAACAGAAAAGCAACCTGGAGAGAGCTGCAGTATGAAGAGCGTGGGTGGAGGTGGTTGGTCAGTGTGTGTGTGAGGGGAGGGAAATTGGTCATTGTGGGTGGAGCTCAGTGTGTGGGTGGAGCTCTCCCGATCCTGGTGCCGCCATTGATCCAGTTTCACTCGGCAGGTTCTCACGGCGGCTGGCAGCGGCTCTAAGATCGATGTGTTCACCAACTTCCGGTACCGCGCCTTCTCTCTGACCTTCACACATAATCACATGACCTGGCCCCTCCCATTTTGTGTGGTTTTTATGGTTTTGTTCTTTTCTAATAAATGATTGAAGTTTCCTCGTCTGTGTTGTTATTTCTCTGCTTTTCGATGGACGATCAGCTCCACCTGCTGGCAGACAGCAGAATCTTCCAAATGTCTGGCTGAGGATGCCTAGCCAATCGTATGCCTACTTTATCCTGGGATTGGTGGATGAGTTGCCTTCAGTGAAGTCGCGGTGTACACGCTGCCTGTTTATTGGCCCTATAGACACCGCCAATCAAGGGGGAGATTGACCAGATTGGAAACCTCATCCAAACGCTGGAGGTATTCTATTGCCCCTCCCCCTTCCAAGTTGGACCGAATACCCCACAAGCTCGATGGCGAAGCCTAAGTAGCCCAGCGTGTGGGTGTATGTGGCACAAATCTTCATACTGTTTTTAGTGAAGACCCTCTCTTGCTCGGCTCCAGCCCTACGACCAGCTCTGGGCGTGCCCCCAGGACTGCCTCTTCACCAGAGCACGCCATCACAGTCAGAGAGGGCCGTGTCCACTGCCTCCAGGAAGCGGTAGGAGATGCCCTGCTCGGGGGGGGGGGGGGGGGCAGTATTTGGAGATGGCTCCTTGTGCGTGTTCTTCCTTGCATGCTGTGGTGGAGCCGTTCTGCCTGGGCTTCCTCGTGTGGAGTGATGCCTCTCAGCCAATGGTCCCCTTTTCCGGCAAGTCTTCCAGTGCTCTGCCAAGGTGGGTATTAGAGCTCAAAACCAATCCTTCCCTGATATCCCAAACCACGAGTCGGAACTTCATGTTGGGTGAATGAATGAATCTTTATTAAACACAACTCCGTTTATACAGCACATCCTGGCAGTAATCCGTGCCCCCTTCACCCCCACCAGACAGTCTGGCCCCTGTCCCCCCCCCCCCCCCCCCCCCCCCCAGAACAAAGCTCTACAGCACAACAGCAATCACCACAGTATGAAATGTAGAGAAGTGAAAGACTACAAGTCCCCATTCCCCCCCTAAACCAACAGTGTAGAATGTCTGTCTACATACCAGCTGCTAAACATATACAGCTGTACCAAGGGCGAACGGGAAGACCGCCTACCGAGGGGGGGCGAACGGGAAGACCGCCTACCGAGGGGGCGAACGGGAAGACCGCCTACCGAGGGGGCGAACGGGAAGACCGCCTACCGAGGGGGCGAACGGGAAGACCGCCTACCGAGGGGGCGAACGGGAAGACCGCCTACCGAGGGGGCGAACGGGAAGACCGCCTACCGAGGGGGCGAACGGGAAGACCGCTTACCGAGGGATAAACCCGGAACAGAAAGGGCAAAATGTTATCACAACAGGACGGTTCGTTACACATGCCATTGTCTGCCCAGACTCAGACTCTACTACCCTACCCCCAACACTTAACCCTCCCCCTGCCCAGACCCCAGACTCTACTCCTCCCCTACCCCAACACTTAACCCTGCACAGACCCCAGACTCTACTCCTCCCCTACCCCAACACTTTACCCTCCCCCTGCCCAGACTCTACTCCTCCTCTACTCCAATACTTTACCCCCCCCTGCCCAGACCCCAGACTCTACTCCTCCCATACCCCAACCCATAACCCCTTCCCTGCCTGAATCCCAACACCTAACCCCCTGCCTGAACCCCAACACATAACCCCTTCCCTCCCTGAACCCCTACACATAACCCCTTCCCTGCCTGAACCCCAACACATAAACACCTTCCCTGCCTGAACCCCAACACATAACCCCTTCCCTGCCTGAACCCCTACACATAACCCCTTCCCTGCCTGAACCCCAACACATAACCCCTTACCTGCCTGAACCCAACACATAACCCCTTCCCTTCCTGAACCCAACACATATCCCCCTTCCTGCCTGAACCTCAACACATAACCACTGCCTAAACCCCAACACATAACCCCTTACCTGCCTGAACCCAACACATAACCCCTTCCCTTCCTGAACCCAACACATATCCCCTTTCCTGCCTGAACCTCAACACATAACCACTGCCTAAACCCCAACACATAACCCCTTCCCTGCCTGAACCCCAACACATAACTCCTTCCTTCCCTGAACCCTAACATGTAAACCTCCCTCTGCCCTGGCTCAAAAAACATAACCTTCCCCTAGCCAAACCCCAACATCTAGCTGTATGTTGTCTGAAACCCAAAACCTAACCTTGTACAGAATAGGTTGTAGCTGGATGTCCAGTGTCCAGGATAGGTGATTATTGGGTGCCCAATGTCTGGTATAGGTGATAGCTGAGTTCTTGGTGTCTGGGATAAATGATAGTTTGGTATGGATCCTAGTTTGGTACCTAGTGTCAAGGATAGGTGCTCAAAGTCCAGTATAGTTGACAGTTGGGTGTGTGGTGTCCTGGATAGTGGATAGGTGCCTGGTGTATAGATAGGTGGTAGTTGGGTACCCAGTATCAAGGATAGGTGATAGTTTTGCTGCATAGTGCTCAGGGTGGGGGATAGTTGAGTGTCTGGTGTCCAGGAGAGGTGGAAGTTGGATGTCCAGTGTTCGCTGATGGGAGTTCTGGTATGTAGGTGATCATTGGATGGCCAATATCAGGGATAGGTGATAGTTGGGTTCCTTGTGTCTGGGATAAATGATAGTTTGGGTAGCCTGGTGTTTGGTACCCAGATGTCAAAGATAGTTTAGTTAGGTACCCAGGATAGGGGATAGTTGGGTGCCTGGTGTCCAGGTCACATGCCTGAAGAAGGGGTCCTGCAGAACCCCAAAACATTGCTACTTTATGCTGTGATGTGATCACTTTAATAAACCTTTTCAATTATATTTCTGAGATCCTTGGTGTGCTGGAGACATACAGTGAGGAACAGAAGTATTTGAACCCCCTGCGATTCTGCACGTTCTCCCACTTCTCCATCATGGAGGGTCTGACATTCACATTGCAGGGGATTCCCACTCTGAGGACAGAATTCAGGAAATCACATGTAGGGGATTCCCACTCTGAGGACAGAATTCAGGAGATCACATTGTATGATTTGTAAAGAATTTATTTGTCTCGCACGGCTGAACAGAAGTATTTGAACACCTAATAAACAGCAAGAATTCTGCCTCTCAAAGACCTGTTACTGCGCCTTTTAAAAAGTCCACCTCTACTCCACTCATTCATCTCTTAGTAGCACCTGTCTGAGCTCTTTAAAGACACCTGTCCACAGTCAGTCAGACGCCAACTACTACCATGGGCAAGACAAAGAGCTGTCAAAAGACACCAGAGACAAAATTGTGGACCTCCACAAGGCTGGAAAGGGCTACGGGGCAATTGCCAAGCAGCTTGGTGAAAATAGATCAACTGTTGGAGCAATTGTTAGAAAATGGAAGAGAGGCTAAAGACGACTGTCAGTTCCCTGGACTGGGGCTCCATGCAAGATGTCACCTCGTGGGGTATCACTGATGATAAGAAAGGTGAGGAATCAGCCCAGAACTACAAGGGAGGAGCTGGTCAATGACATGAAGAGAGCTGGGACCACAGTTTCACAGGTCACTGTCGGTAGAACACTACGCCGGCATGGTTTCCAATCATGCATTGCATGGAATCATCACATTGCAGGCCGGAAGGTTCCCCTGCTCAAGTCATCACATGTCCAGGCCCGTCTGAAGGTTCCCCTGCTCAAGTCATCACATGTCCAGGCCCGTCTGAAGGTTCCCCTGCTCCAGTCATCACATGTCCAGGCCCTGCTCCAGTCATCACAAGCCCGTTGCCAATGACCATCTGGATGATCCAGAGGAGGCATGGGAGAAAGTCATGTGGTCAGGAAGAGACCAAAGTAGAACTTTTTGGTCTAAACTTCACTCGTCGTGTTTGGAGGAAAAAGAAGGATGAATTGCATCCCAAGAACACCATCCCTACTGTGAAGCATAGGGGGGGTGGTAATATCATGCTTTGGGGGTGCTTTTCTGCGAAGGGGACACAGGCGACTGTACTGTATTAAGGAGAGGATGAATGGGGCCATTTATTGTGAGATTTTGAGCAACAACCTCCTTCCCTCAGTCAGAGCATTGAAGATGGGTCGTGGCTGGGTCTTCCAACATGACAACGACCCAAAGCACACAGCCAGGAGAACCAAGGAGTGGCTCCGTAAGACACATATCAAGGTTCTGGAGTGGCCTAGCCAGTCTCCAGACATAAATCCAATAGAACATCTTTGGAGGGAGCTGAAACTCCATGTTGCTCAGCGACAGCCCCGAAACCTGACAGATCTAGAGGAGATCGGTGTGGAGGAGTCGGCCAAAATCCCTGTTGCCAAACCTGGCCAAGGACTACAGGAAACGTCTGACCTCTGTAATTGCAGACAAAGGCTTCTGTACCAAATATTAACACGGATCTACTCAGGGGTTCAAATACTTCTGTTCTGCGAGACAAATACATTCTTTACAAATCATACAATCTCCTGATTCTTTCCAGAGTGGAATTCTGTCCTGAATTCTGTCCTCAGAGTTGGAATGTCCTACAATGTGAATGTCAGACCCTCCATGATGGAGAAGTGAGAGAACTTGCAGAATCGCAGGGGGTTCAAATACTTCTGTTCCTCATTGTATCTCTTAGTCTGTGCTGTATTGTGGTTCCTAGCCAGTGGTTGCTGCAGCACTCACCTTGCAGCCAGATCCAGGATTGTGTGTGTTGGGAACGTTTTTCTGGACCAGGATAGCCCATTTCCAGGATAGGTGATAGTTAGGTGCCCAGTGTTCAAAATGGGTAATATGTGGGTGCCTGGTGTCCAGGATAGGTGATAGTTGGCTGCCTGGTGTACACCATAAGTGTTCAGGATAGGGGATAGCTGGTTGTCTGAAGTCCAGGATAAATGAGTCGGGTGCCCTTTGTACAGGATAGGTGTCCAGTGTCTAGGATAGGTGATAGTTGGGTACTCGGGGACCAGTGATAGTTGGTGTACTCGGGGACCAGGATAGGTGATAGTTGGGTGACCAGTGTACAGAATAGGTGCCTGTTGCCCA